CTGGTCTTAAACTCCTGATCTCAAGTGATCTGCCTATCTCCACCTCCCAAACTGTTGAAATTACAGGTGTGAGCCACCACACCCAGTCTAGGAACTCCCACCTTTACCTTGAACTTGTAGCAAGCTCATCTCAGCGCTCAAGTGTCATCTGCTCTATGAAGCCCTGCAGAGTCCCTGGGAGAACTAACTCCCCTGGGAGGGAGGCTGGGGGTGTGTTATTGTTCCTATTTTCCAGAAAATTTAGACTCTGAGAGGTTGGTTGACTTGCCTGAGGTCACTCAGCAGCAGAATCAGGACTAACATTCCAGGTAACGGCCTCCACTGTCCAGCACCTGCTGGGCCCTGCACTGGGTACTTTGCATATGTGAGCTTGTTGCATTTCTACCAGAACCTAAGTGGCTTGGCTCCAGGTCCACATTCTTTCCCAACAACACGCTGCCTCTCAAAGACCAGGATGGAAAACCAGATTTCCAGGGCTCTTTTAAAATCTTCTTCCTTTGTGAAGAATGTTGTCAGTCATCAGCCAACACCATTTACTCAGAGCTCTGGGCGTGGACTAATGAAGGACACTGTCCTCACCTGGGCAGAATGCAGGCTCTAAGGGTGGCCAGACCTGCAGTCAGCCCTCCAGGGGGAAACGGGAGTGAGAGAGGACAACCTGCATCTCACACGAGTCTCGCCCTCCTGCTGGTTCTGCCACTAACCAGCCCTAGAGCCTTGAGGAAGGGATGCCTCTCCTGGCCTCAGTTTCTCTATTTGCACCACAAGGAGCTGGAGGCGTAAGGTTTTCTAAGAACACTCCAGCCCTGGGATTCTAGGATTCTGTGACTTCTGAGAGTGCCTTGGGCTAGCTATGCCTGAGTGCAGGGAGGTGGTGATCAGCAGGGATTCTCGTGGAAAAAGGTACCTTGGTCTGCCTTAATCTTGCGGCGTCATTGTTTGCCAGAGCTCAGAACTCAGGAGGGGGGAGGTCCTCTGGGATAAGGAGAGCCCTGGTTGAAGATGATTTACAAAGGGAAGCTGTGCACAGGTTAGCGGGGCCCGACGACGTGCTGGGGGGGACAGGCAGATGTGCTCTTTCGGCTGGCAGATGTTATTTCTTAAGAGCTTCTGAAGGCAGAGTCCTGAGCGGAGGGAATCTTATGGTCTTGTCTCTCCTATGACCTAATTTAATCACCCCACATGATCTATTAGGGGAGCATTTCCGCCCCCCCCCCCACCATTCCTGTCCCGTGTCTCCCCGTGTTGCCCCCTCCCAGCTCAGCAGTCCATCAAGTAGTGGAAGTAAGGTCACCTGGCTGGGACGTAGTGGGGCAGAGATGTAAACGCAGGCCCGCTGGTGCCAATGGCCAGGTGCCATCCACTGTGCCATGCCGCCCACACCTCATCTCCATTAGGGAGGAGTGCAAATCACAGAACCGGCAGTTGAATTCTAGTACCAAGCAAACTCATAGAAGGAAACCTCACATGAAAGGGTTGCAAACGAATAGCGGCGTGCCTCAGTTTAAGCAAATCCAGTATACCCCAATCTAAAAATAGCTCCTTCTACTGGAGCTCTTTCCCATATGAATTCATTCCCATATGAAAACCAATCACTGGTTCTTTTCTTCAAGAAGCCAACTCTATTAGTGCATTAAAAATACAACTCAAGTTGCCAAATGTGATTTCATATGCAATCCTCCTCCCGCCCCCCACCCCAATATACTTCTCACTCTTGATCCCAAAGGAACACTCCGCCTTTCATAAAGAGAGGTCCGCCTGCAGTGAGCGGGGCTGGAAACCAACATGGCAAACACATGTCCAGGATTTTCTGGGACTGGCTCACTTTCTAATATTAGGTTTCCATTGTCCCATGAGAATGCTTGGAACTTGGGGCCTTGGGGACTGATGCTTCGGTTGGTACAATAAGGTCACTAGGGAGAGGAGGATGCTGTCCTGTCAAATCCATTTTCTACCCTGGCAGGCCTGGTCAGAGGGTAGGCTGGTCAGAGAGGGTGGTGACGGTGGGGAGCCCAGAGGCAAGCCTATGAGGCGGGGGGAGCCATGTGGGGTGAGGGATTTGGGGTATGGGGTGAGTCAGCTGAGAGAGTCAGCTCCTTGGGTTCCTGGGATCGATTAGCAAGCATGCCACGCAAAGCGGGCGGGCTGCAGAGATGCAGGCTCCCTCCACGGGCTCTCTCTGCATGGGAAGCAGGCGGGCGGGGCCCTGGAAGGTGGCCAGGGAAGAGCAGCTCCATGATTAAAGGGCTGGAGACCAGGACTTTTGAAGCGAGACCAGGATGGCTGGTTATTTATGCATTCATCTCTGGGCCCTGCCTCTATCCTACCCCACTCCACCACCCAGCAACTCAGACCTGTGGCCCAGCCCTGGACCCCATACTGGGCCCTGGGAGGTGGGAGAAGAAGGCAAGGATTTCCAAAACATTGACTGAACACCTGGGGTGTGGTGGCCGCGGCTTTAACACACAAACATCATGAATCTCCCCAACAAGCCCGCGGAGCAGGAGATACTAGCTCCATTTTACAAGTGTTCAACAGGAGTTGAAATTCTTTGCTCAAAGTTACATAGCCAAATGGAATAAGATCCCAGATCTTCTGATTTTACCTCATTACAGCAAAAACAGAAGTGACAGAGGAAGGCTGGAGTCCAAGGGCGAGGGTGCGGGCAGGGAAACCTAAATGAGCTCCTCCAGTGACTGCGTTGTTTCCCCAGGGTTGTTTACGCGTGAAAGGGTCTTTCTCAAAACAGGAACAGTGGTGAGGCTGCTGTTCTTTACTGAGTACCTACTACATTTGTGGCATTCTAATCCTTACAACGATTTCCCAGGGTAAGTATTATAATCCCAGTTTTACTGATGAGGAAACAGAGACTCAGAGACTTGCCCACAGTCAGGGAACTAATAAAGGGCGGAAGGGTTTGTTCTGCCTCCAAAACCCACAGCCCTTTCATCCCCCCGCTGCCCTCTGCAGCACCCGCATATGGGTGCTGGAGCTGCGTACATGTTTTTGTGTTAAAGCCCCTGCTGCCACACCACAGGTGTTAACTCAACATTTTGGAAATCCTTGTCTTCTCCCACTTCCCAGGGCCCAGCATAGCTGTTATCTATGGGAAGGGAGTTTAGGGAGGGACCTGGGAATCATTCTGAGAGCGTCCTTAGAGCACAGGAGGGTTGCCCCAGGAGGCTGCTGACTGACTAGCTGCATTCCAGCTCCCCATGCCAATTCACGGCCAAGCTTTGGCTCGTGCCGTTTCCTTCTTGCATTTGTTTTCGTGTCAAACCCTACCCATCCTTGAGGACTGGACGCTGATGGCTTTTCTTCATAACTCCCGCTGATCTCCTAACCAGAGCTGTCACCCCCTCTCTCAACTCTCTGTCTACCTTTCACGTAGCAGCTATGGACCCGGGGCCTCCCCTATTTATCTGGCTCAAATGTTTGGAAGAGAGAGGTTGGGTTACGTTTAAGGAAGGGCTTCCTGGATGAAATTTCATGGAGGGGATTCCTGAGTCCCAATCTGGGAAGCTTGAGTGAGTCATAGAGAAATGGTCCGCTTGGTGAGTTGAGCGTGGGGACAGCCTGCCCCCACTTCCAGCATCAGGCACAGGTGCAGACCCGGCAGGGCCTCCGCTTTTCCTCACCTTCCTCACAGTCCCACAGTGTTCCTGTGCGTGTCGGGGCCTGGAGATTCCTGCTGGCCACACCAAAACCCTTCCTCTTAATGCTGTGTATCCGTGGCTCCTACATGGTGTTATAGGAAGAACTCGGCTGGGCGCGGTGGCTCATGCTATAATCCCAGTACTTTGGGAGGCTGAGGAGGGTGGATCACCTGAGGTCAGGAGTCAAGACCAGCCTGGCCAACATGGCGAAACCCTGTCTCTACTGAAAATACAAAAAATTAGCTGGGCGTGGTTGTGGGTGCCTATAGTCCCAGCTACTTGGGAGGCTGAGGCAGGAGAATTGCTTGAACCCGGGAGGTGGAGGTTGCAGTGAGCTGAGATCATGCCATTGCACCCCAGACTGGGCAACAGAGTGACAGCGAGACTCTGTCTCGAGAAAAAAAAAAAAGGAAAAAAAAAGAAAGAAAGAAGGAACAAACTCAGGACCAGGAGTCTCACTGGGCTGTGGTGGTTTCTCAGCCTGCATGTGGCCTTATAAACTTGAGTAAGTCACCTGTTGCTTCTGGGACTCAAAACTGGCCAGTGAGCTTTCCACTGGGTTCAGGAAATACAAGGATCAATAATAGAGGGTCCCTGCCCTTAAGAAGCTGACAGTCTAGAGAGGGATACTAAATAAACAGATTGCTGTAGTCAGTGCAGTTATTTCTGCAATAGAGAGATGAACAGCACCACACTGAGAGGAATTGAGGAGAATCAGAGGATACAATGACCAACCCTGCCAGGGGCAGTCGGGTAAAACCTTACAGAAGAGGTGATGTGAAGGATCACGGGAGTTTGTCATACAGAGAAGAGGATGGGAGCACTCGACTGTTGTTTACCTTGAGATGTGGTGGCTGGGGTTCATCACCTGAGCTCTGTTCCTGCCTTCTGATAAGGACGTGCCCTAAGTTACTACGTGGCGTTCAGGGAGGGTTCTGGTACCCCTGTGGAAACTCAACTCAGGCACAGTCTACATCCTGGCAAGGCTCAGTTAGAGGGCAGCTCACAAAAGAAATGGCTGGTGGGATAGGAATGGAAACCAGAGAAGGAGGTTGGAGGAGGGAGTTTCAAGAAGTAAATATTCAATAGCATTAAGTGCTACAGGGATCAGAAAAGATGAGGATGGTGAAAAATCAGACAATGTTTGGCATGTGGAAAAAAGACTGGAGGGAAATATACCAGAATGCTCATGATGGCTGCCTCTGGGTGCTGTGAGGATGCATGCCTGATCCTTTTCCTGCTCCTGTGCGCTGCTCTGCACTTGCCAAATTTTCTACAATGAGCATTTATTTGATAACCAAGAAATAGAACAATTGAAACTTGTTTAAAAAGAAGTCATTGGTGACCTTGGCAGGAGTGGATTCAGCAGAGCTGTACCGACAAGCCAGATTGCAGGGCATTAAGAAAGTAGCAGGGGGTGAGGAAGCAGAAGAAGTGCGTGGAACACTCGGAGAGAGAGCTGGCAGGACATGGAAGGGCAGAGACGGTTCTGGAGGCAGCCAGGCCAGGTAGGGATGTTTATTCTTTATTTAATGTGGGAGGGACTTTTGAAAGTGATAAAATTTCCTGCATCAAAAATCAGGATCTTATAAAGGACTTTTGTGCCTTTTCTGAATATAAGACAAAGAAGGGCTGGGTGCAGTGGCTCAAGCCTGTAATCCCAGCACTTTGGGAGTCCGAGGTGGGCAGATCATTTGAGGTCAGGAGTTCGAGACCAGCCTGGCCAACATGGTGAAACCCCGTCTCTACTAAAAGTAAAAAATTAAAAAATAGCTGGGCGTGGTGGCACACACCTGTAATCCCAGCTGCTGGGGAGGCTGAGGCAGAAGAATCACTTGAACCTGGGAGGCCAAGGTTGCAGTGAGCCAAGATCATACCACTGCACTCCATCCTGGGTGACAGAGTGAGACTCCACCTCAGAAAACAAAACAAAACAAAACAAACAAAAACAAAGAAGGAGAAAATTTATTGGAATTTCTAGGACTTTTCTGTGGATTATAGAGACAACAGAAAAAAAGAATTCTGAAAGTGGGATTGTCCTGGCAAATCTGGGCTTTGAGTTTGTTTATTGTGTGGGTTTCCCGTTAGAGGGGAAGGAACAAGTAAAGAAGAAGACAGAGAGGATGTTAAGAAGCAGGGAAGACCCATGTTCACAACGGTGTTATTCACAATAGACAAACGGTGGATGCAACCCAAGCGCCCATCAATAGATGAATGGATCACCAAAATGTAGCACATTTACACAATGGAATATTATTCAGCCATAAGAAGGAAGGGAATTCTGACACATGTCCCAACATGGATGAACTGCGAGGACATTATGCCAAGGGAAATAAGCCAGCCACAAAAAGACAAATACTGTATGATTCCATTTATGTGAGATATCTAAAACAGTCAAACTCGTAGAAACAAAAAGCAGAACGGTGACTGCCAGCGACTGGGGGAAGGAAGAATAGGAAGTTATTGTTAAATAGGTACAGAGTTTCAGTTCTAGAAAATGAAAGAAATTCTGGAGACATTGTGATGACCGTTGCACAACAATCTATAACTTAGTGGCTAAAATAGTCAATTGTATATTATGTATACTTTAATCATAATTTAAACAAATTAAAAATAAATAGGTAAGTGAAAAGAATTACCCCACTCCCCAGAGAAGCAGGGGAGAAGTGGGGAAGCAAGTCTTCCCGGGTGGCAGGACCGTCCCTGAGTGTCCCAACAGGGATGGTTTTGGAAAAGTGTAAAGAACACTTTCTGGCTAAGAGCGGTGGCTCATGCCTGTAATCCCAGCACTTTGGGGGACCGAGGTGGGTGGATCACCCGAGGTCAGGAGTTCGAGACCAACATGGTGAAATCCTGTCTGTGCTAAAAATACAAAAAATAGCGGGGCATGATGGCGGGTGCCTGTAATCCCAGCTACTCAGGAGGCTGAGGCATGAGAATCACTTGAACCCAGGAGGCAGAGGTTTTAGTGAGAGATCGTGCCACTACACTCCAGTCTGGGTGACAAGAGCGAAACTCTGTCTCAGAAAAACAGAATGGTATCCATCCAGAGCACAAAGTGAAGATGGGAAAGGGAGATACAGAAATAGAAGTGGAGGAGGGAATGGGGGTGAGCCCAAGTGCCCAGGTCTATCCCCACCTGCTATGGCTAAGGTTTAGAGAATAGGTTGGACTTATTCGCCATTCATTTGTTCAATGAGGTACAGTGCTTCAGCACCAGCATACACATAGCGCCTTTGCGTGAATCAGAGAACAAACACCATCTCTTTCCCAGGGAGATACAACCTCCTGGGTGCGGGGTTTAGCGGGTGGACAGTATCTCTGTGGGAGGGGGGAGTTCAACCCCTACCTGAGCACTTGGCTGAGAGCCTCTGTATTATAAGCAACTTACACAGTTGCATCATCAGCCCTGTGTACCAGGCACTGTGTTAGATTCTGTAGAGTTTTCTTAGCTATAGAAGACCAGTCTGTGCCCTGAACTATCTAATGTTGCAAGTGTTGAAGGAGCCAAGGGAAGAGAGAGAAGGCAATCTCTTCGACAGCATGACCCTGAACCTCATGCACTTTGCTTCTGTGGGGCTCTGAGGCCAGGAAGCAGGGATGCAAAAGATGGCAGGAGGGACTGGGTTTGGGCCTTGGCATTGCAAACCCAATGGCGGGTCAAGGCCACAGGGGTGTGGGGAGGGGGTGAAGGGGTTGACTTGGTGTCCAGGCTTGGGAGGAGCCCGGTTTGACTGGGGAGGAAGGCACCTGGACACTGCACACGTGTGTGAGGTGTGCAGGAAGTCTGCCTGCTGCCTGGAGGAACCAACTTGCTGCTGGTTGCCTTAGGCAGGTGAAGCCTCTCTGTACTAAGCCTGCTACACAGGGATAGCCGGTCAACTTTGACTCCTCTGAATTATCCCTGGGGCAGAATGCCTGTAACCAATTTTAACCAGAGGCCAGCAGGCCTGGCTGCCTCTGATTTGTGCTGTCTTCCCCACTGTCAACACAAGCAAGATAATGATCTTTGGGCTATCTATGACAAGGGGTAACAGACTTTCCAGTCAGGGAAACCAGTGTTCAAATTCCAACTTTACAATTTATAAGCTAAGTGATCCTGGATAAGTCTCAAGTTTCCCTACCTGTAAAATGGATTCAATTATACCATCCCCCTAGGAGTTGATAAAGATGGAATGTGTTGATATACATAAAACACCCAGCACAATGCCTGTACAAACTAATGAATGTTCAGGGGATGTCATTTCACACACACACACACACACACACACACACACGCACAAATACACGCATGTGCACAACCACTTGGTTTGGGAAGTCCACATCTGTGAGGTCTGACACCTGGCCCATGTCAGTGGGGCTGGTACAGGTGATGAGGAAGACTTTTATCTGCAGCACAGAGAAATTCCTTCTGTCCACTTGCTCAGAGGTCCTTCGTCTCTCCTCTCTTCCTCTCCCAACCAGCAGGCTTAGAGACAGACCTCCTCTGCTGCCCGTGGCACAGGCTCACAGAGCATGCCACACGCTGGACGTGGCACTTCTCAGGCACTTGTGGTGGAGTATGAGGTGGTATGCTGACTGGCACTGCAATGCAGTGAGGTACAATGTGGGGAGCTAAGCAGCCCTGGGATGAATTGGGATACACGGTGGGGAGCTGAGTGACCCTGGGATTAAGTGGGGTACAGTATAGGGAGCTGAGGTACCCCATGATGAAGTGGGGTACGGTGTGGGGAGCCGAGATACCCCATGATGAAGTGGGGTATGGTGTGGGGAGCCGAGGTACCCCATGATGAAGTGGGGTACGGTGTGGGGAGCCGAGGTACCCCATGATGAAGTGGGGTACGGTGTGGGGAGCCGAGGTACCCCATGATGAAGTGGGGTACGGTGTGGGGAGCCGAGGTACCCCATGATGAAGTGGGGTACGGTGTGGGGAGCCGAGGTACCCCATGATGAAGTGGGGTACGGTGTGGGGGCTGAGGTACCCCATGATGAAGTGGGGTACGGTGTGGGGGCTGAGGTACCCCATGATGAAGTGGGGTATGGTGTGGGGAGAGGTGGGGCACACTGTGGCAGGTGAGTACCCCAGGATGTAGTGGAGTACAGTGGTAAACGGAGGCTCACTGGTGAGGGCAAATGCTCTGGTGAGAAGCAGCGCTACCTTCTGCTTCATAACCCTGCCTTCTCTTCCTATGTCTACTACTCCACTTTCTTTCTTTTTTTTTTTCTTTTTGAGGCGGAGTCTTGCTCTGTTGCCCAGGCTTTAATGCAGTGGGGTGATCTCGGCTCACTGCAAGCTCCGCCTCCTGGATTCACGCCATTCTCCTGCCTCAGCCTCCCCAGTAGCTGGGACTACAGGCGCCCGCCACCACGCTGGGCTAATTTTTTGTATTTTTAGTAGAGACGGGGTTTCATCGTGTTAGCCAGCATGGTCCTGATCTCCTGACCTCGTGATCCGCCTGCCTCGGCCTCCCAAAGTGCTGGGATTACCGCGCCCGGTCCTACTACTCCACTTTCAAATTAGACATTGCTGCTCAGGATTCCTTCCCTAGAAATGGACCTAAAATACCTGTCCTACAGACATGACCCTGAGGACAGCCAGTGGCTTCTCACCTGGGCTCCTCGCTCCCAGCACTGCGTGCTGCTGGGTGAGAGTTCCCTTTGTGCAGAGCCCACTTACCACGTGTTGGATGGATGCATCCATTAAGGATGGGATGGATGGAGTACAGGAGTCCATTTCGCACACATTTCCTGTGGTCTCCCAGGTGTCGCGCACAAGATGGCCTCTGGAGATCAGACGGGGAATACAAACTGGTCCCTGTTCTCAAGGAGCTCACATAGGCCCCCGGCTTCATCTGGGCTGAGAGATTTGACCCACACACTTATCCAGTGTAGGGGACAGGGCACCAGCTCTGCCTTGGTAAGCCTGGGAAGGCTCGACAGAGTTGGTAATCTCCGAAGCGGGCTTTGGAGGAGGCATAGGAGTGGAGGACCATGGAACAGGCATTTGAGGCTGGCTCTCAGTGGCTTTAGGAGGTGGGAGATACGTCCTATAGAGGTTCTCCAAGGACCCACAGTGCTATGCTGATTTTTGAAACCCAGCAGGACCTAGGCAGGGTGACAAGGGCAGTGACAGAGCTACAGTTGTGTCTTTTTAGAGGGAAGTAAGAGTGAGCATGGTCAGAGAACCTGGCTACACCCATCTCTTGCAGTCATAATCTATTCCTTTCCAATCAAAGAGGGAGGGAGAGCGGTTTTTATCCCTCAGACACAGGGATGAGGCTAGGAGGGAGGAGCTGGGTGGGCTGGGCTGGACCAGCCTGGCCCTGGCGGACCTGCAGTTGGGCGGGAGGATGCTGGTTATTTGACTACAATGTATGTTTAAGGTCTCAGTTACAATGGGCCCCGGGCACTGTGTAACAAGCTGCAGCTGTCCCGTTGCTCATTAGCTTTCCTGACATCTTCTTGGGCTGGTCCTGGGAGAGCCGCCCCCAAGCTCCTCCCTGTGGGC